GCCCTGGTCCTGATCACTGGGTCCTGGTCCTGATCACTGGGCCCTGGTCCTGATCACTGAGCCTGTTCCTGATCACTGGGCCCTGGTCCTGATCACTGAGCCCTGGTCCTTATCACTGAACCCTGGTCCTGATCACTGGGTCCTGGTCCTGATCACTGAGCCTGTTCCTGAACACTGGGTCCTGTTCCTGATCACTGGGCCCTGTTCCTGATCACTGAGCCCTGGTCCTGATCACTGAACCCTGGTCCTGATCACTGAACCCTGGTCCTGATCACTGGGCCCTGGTCCTGATCGCTGAGCCTGGTCCTGATCGCTGAGCCTGGTCCTGATCGCTGGGCCCTGGTCCTGATCGCTGGGTCCTGGTCCTGATCGCTGAGCCCTGGTCCTGATCACCGGAACCTGTTCCTGATCACCGGACCCTGTTCCTGATCACTGGGCCCTGTTCCTGATCACTGGGCCCTGGTCCTGATCAATGGGTCCTGTTCCTGATCACTGGGCCCTGTTTCTGATCACTGGGCCCTGTTCCTGATCACTGGGCCCTGTTCCTGATCACTGAGCCCTGGTCCTGATCACTGAGCCCTGGTCCTTTTCCTATACATATTCATTTTGAAGTCTGATTCCTTTTCCAAGCCTGTATCAGTCTGTCTAGACACAGTCCTGTCTGATTTCTGAGCCTGGCCCTCATTAGCAAGTGACCTGCAGAGGTGGAGGGAGACCTCCAGGGAAGCCAAGACCCTCTCAGTGCATGCACTCGGTGGCAGATGAAGACCCCAATGACTTGCTTCATTTTTCCCAGGCTCAGAGGGGTGTGTAGGCCCCCAAGAGGACTTGGTGGGGCCCCATGAGCTACACTCCCAGCCCCTAAGGGGTCTCCAGGTCTGGACTTACCACTGGGGAGGGGTACAGTACAGGAGTAAGGACAGAGAGGTAGGGGAGGCCATGCTGTTTGTATTCTCTTGCTTTTCTCTTTGTCCTGAAGCCTCTTGCACCCCATCACCTGCAGAAACACCCAAAATAGCCCTGTGGGGCAGCTGAGTCATTGTGAATACAGCCCAGCCCAGGTGTTCCAGCCAGAGAGCTGCTGTTCTGAGAAACATGCCCCAAAACCGAGACCGGGCCAGGTGCACCTGGGCCTGAGCGAGGGCCTGCAGCCACGGGAAGGGCCAGCCCCAACCAACCCTGGGTCAGCCAGGACCTTCCAGGTCCAGGATTAGGCAAAGGTCAGCCAGAGTCAACTATGGTTTATCCAAAGTCATTCAGAGTCAGCCAGGATCAGCTAGGGTCAGCTAGCGTCATCTGGGATCAGCCAGGGTCAGCCAAGATCAGCCTGGGTTCTGCCAGGGTAGCTAGGGCCATCTGGGGTCATCTGGGATCAGCCAGGGCCAGCCTGGGTTCTGCCAGGGTCAGCTAGGGCCATCTGGGGCCAGCCAGGGTCAGCCAGGGCCAGTCTGGGTTCTGCCAGAGTCAGCCAGTGCCTTCTAAGTTCATCTGAGGCCAGCCAGGGCCAGCCTGGGTCCCACCAGTGTCTGCACAGGCCACTGTCCACCTGGCCAAGCTCTCCAGCCTTCAGGCCTCCTCCATGGGCAGTCCTCACGAGGTCTGTGCCCCCCACACAGCAGACCCAGGGGCACTGCATTGACCGCCTGGCAGTGACCTTGGTGGCCCCACACCCTGCATGCACCTCCCTCAGCTCTCCCCAGGGCCCTTGGCCAGAGCCAGGATGCAGTGCTCAGCCCTGGGGCTCCAACAGGTGCCCCGCCACGCTGTGTCCAGCACAGTCGAGCCCAAAGGCCACAGCAGGATCCGGACCCCACATCAGGGAAACAGGGGTTCTGGGAAGGAGACATTGGACCAGGGGCCCAGAGAGACACAGAGACAGACAGAGACAGGGATGGGGAGAGACCAGAGACAGAGAGACAGGAAAGGAGAGAGACAAAAAGAGACACAGAGTGAGATGGGGAGGAGAGAGGTATGAGACAGGGACAGTGAGAGAGACAGAGACACAAGAGACAGAAAGAGAGGGAGGAGATGAGAGACAAGGAGAAACAGAGACAGCGAGAGGCAGATAGAGATGTAAGAAGGAGATCATTCAAGGAGATGTTAAAGAGGCAGGAAGGTGGGCCCAGGAACTCAAATGCTAGCCCCCCTCACACTCACACTCTCAGACACACAAACTCACACACTCTCACACTCACACACTCATACACATACACACACATTCACACACTCACACATACACACACATTCACACATGCTCACACACATACTCATACACTCACATTCACACACACACACCACAACTATTATACAACATTCACAAAACACACAAATACATCCCCACACTCACACTCACACCCTCACCCATGCTCACATCCACACACTAAGTCACTGTCTCACAACCACACTCACACTCAAGCACACCCGTCCCAGGAGCCAACGGCCAGAGCTCAGCCTGCAGTTGGGGCTGCCGAGCTGGGGCTGGGCCAGAGCCTGGGCCTGTCTGGGTTGGGGGGCAGGCAGCACGGGCCCACCTGCACCTCCCAGGCCTGGTCCCCAGGTCACTGGGTCACCACCCAGCCCTCGCCCTGTTCACTGTCTCTGTGCCGGCCAGGGCAGGCCTCTGAGCCTTGGGGAACCCCACAGACCCACACGGGACTCCGAACACTGGGCGGGGAGGCTGGGGTGGGGAACACCGTGCCAGAGGTGGGAGTGGGAGGGTGCGGGA